AACAATGCAGGAGAAGACTTGGCTCTCTCACTCTTTGTGTTTCAGCAGAGTGTGAAGACAGACACAACAAACAAAAGATGATAATGTGCTTTATTTGAATACAATCCCAGTCCCAGCTGGAAGAAGAAGAAGAAGAAAAAGTATCCCACATGTTATTTATTTCATAAATCATTTTACAAATGCACATCCCACACCATTGCAGTTATTGGGCGACTAAACAGAAAGTACTCTAGTTTAGTTAAACAATATTAGACAGAAATACGTGTGTGCGTTGCGTTATAGGCCCATTTTACAGGTTTTATTGTGAAATCCCTGATAGTTTCTATTTGTGGACAAATGATGTGAAAATCCACAGAAGGCAGGAAACCTTAAAGCTGCTCTAACCTACTAAAATGCACAGATCATTTTTACGCAAATACACTGCACTATATGCTGCAACTGCACAGCCCTGATACAGCACATGCAGGGAATAAGTACATCTTTATTATTAGTAGCCAAACCAAAGCAATATCTGCTCTCTGTGTTGAAGTGCAGGCTGTAGATGTAAAAGCTCGCAGTTCAGGAGGGAGATGAAAAAGAAATAGGCAGTGGAACATTTTCACACAGTTGAGGAGGAAATAAACGCCACCCTTTATCAAAATGGATTGGTGAGGTAAGGCTCGGTTGAAGAAGAGAACAATCACGTGAACAAATATGCTTGTATCTTAAGGCAGCGCCTTTATTTGTCACCACAAAGAGTCCAGAAACTCCAAAAAATCCTAATGTTATAGCTCCAAATCCGCACAGGCCTATATCCGCTTCTGAATTCCTGTATATTTCAATGTGTGATTGATTGCCAGGGATTTTTTTTTTTCTGGAATAAGGATACCTTGTTCGCTTTTTTATTGGTAGCTGAATGCGAGTCCTTCCATTCTTTCGGGAATACTGTCTCCACTGGTATATGGAAATGTCTGAAAAACAGCAAGATCAGGTTTAGGACAGCATTGTCTACAGACAAAGGCTGAAGGATTTATTCTAGAGACTGCGTTGGAAAGGAGCTGAGGCTGAAGAAGGGAAGCTGCTTTATGATGAATTGATTCACAGGTAAGCAGCAACTGCGAGGCACAAAGCAACCTTTAACCACGGGTTAATATAATGCAAGGAAATATAGATATGATTTATTCCATTCAAGGAGGTGATGCTTGTTAATGTCGCTCTCACCGGCGACAGTTGCATGCGGATTATGGAGTCCACAGACACCTCTTCAAAAGCAGATTCATATGTATATATATATATATTTTTTTTTTTTCAAATATTATCGACACATTGAGCCTGAGCTCGCTCCTGCGCTTTTCGGCTGGTTTCACGTCTCGATGAAAAGCGGCTCGGGAAGGAAGAAGTAGCAGAGGAACTTTTTTTCTTTTTCACTCTTGGATCGTAAATCACATTAATTTGTTGTCTTATCGTCACAGTGGCGTTTGCCGTGATTTATGTGGTTTCAACTGTATGGCTTTGTTAACCTGCAACGTTATATTAAACACGAATTCATATTGGATGTTTTAAAAGGATTACCGGGCTGGATATAGTCAACGAGGACGAAGGCAAATACTTATATTTTCCCTGCTATTTGGAGACTTCTGTGGTGAACTTGTTGTTTGGTTCATTGAAGCTCATGTGATGTTTTTCTTTACGTTTTGTCAATATAGGAAGAAACATCAGGCCTGAGTCGCAAAGGCAATAAAAGCTTATATATTAATTGGGTATTTCCAATTTGGCTGAAAGATTATTAATTTTTTTAGCAATGAATTAAGCTTTAATTTTATGTGAACTGCATCTTTATTAACTATAAACTCATGACTGCTGCAGAATGGAAGCTGAATTTCCACTGAAATCAACATCATAGCAAAAACACTTTTGGTGCAGCAAGGATTTACGCATTTTGTGAGCAGCCCATATTTTCTCTAGGAACAAAAAATAAATAAATAACAGACCTTGCATATATCACAGCAACATCGAGTAGAAGTCTGGCTTAACGTTGGACTGTATCACCTGCTATTATTTCGTGGATGTAGCAACTAATTTCCAGCAGTATACCAGCACGCCTCTCAGGGCTGTTTAACTTGAAATATTAGTGGACTTTGAAGGGATAAGCGGAGATAATAACACTCCACACTGACTCCGGCCCATTGTGTGAAGTAAACTTACCGTAACAACGCGTAGGCGAAAAACACTGTTGTTTGAAAAGAGGACCATGTCTGCTACTAGCAGCCCCAGTGTGGCCGAAAAGCACTTGAGGCGCAGATTATCGACCAGCTTTAACAAATATTCCACATCGAAGGGGTTTTAAATCTCCATCATCATGTTTTAGGGCAATTATGTCCAAATGCAGGCAGGAAAACAGCAGCGGTGGTTCACACAGACACACACACACACACACACACACACACATACTCACACACACACTCACGCTCACACTCACACTCACAGGGGAAAAAATGATTAAAAAAAAAACAATTAACTGAATATTAATTTTCTGAGGTTTAATTTGTACTTTCTGGCCGTCGGCAGAGCATCCTCTCCTCCGTCTCAGTCACCGCTGAAGAGCCTCTGTGAGTTTAGTTGAGACTTGGCTCTTTACTTGAAGCCAAACTGCTCGTTGTTCATTAAACTTAGTCTTAATGCTGAATGACCCGAGGGTCACCTAAAAAAGCTTATGACTGCTAAATGTTTGGCCTGGCTCTTTGTATAAAAAAGTGCACATGTAAGACTTTTCACTCTCAAGCCATATATCAATATACATGTCATATTTGGTCTATTCTCAGTTTTCCACTTTAGCTAAGTATTCATTATTAACTGTCCAGAATTAGATTTTTTTTTTTTACTAAAGCTTTTATAATTAAATTCCTATTATTGTTTATTTTCATCGTATTGTTTTGGAGATAAATGGGCCTGATATTAATCTTTATTTTGGTATAACCTACAATATGCATCAAATTGAAGGCCCACACTTTGCTGCGATTTAAAAAAGAAAAAATCTGTAATGAGAAGACATTTTTATTTTATTTTATTTTCCTTCCAGGTCGAGGTGAGAGCAGTGATGAATGCGTGAGGGAAATAAAAGAGATCTGCGCAGATTTCGGTGAGTAACACTTCTTTAATGAAGGGAGCAGACAACACAGCCAACTGCTAACCAGGTGAAAGGGTGATTTGTTATTAGGCTGCATATTAGCGCTCTCAGAGTTTCACAGGAGGCTTAAATCACGTAAACAGACATGAGGGATGACTTTAACTTAACCTGGACGTGTAATTATTTACGCAGACCAGAGTCCCATTTAAATATCTGCCCTTTTTCTTTCGTTTGCAACAGACTCGCCCGCATAATAATATAATGAACTAAACGTTGCTTTTTGCAATAAAGAAAAATAGAAAAAACAAAAACACACAATTCCTCTCAAAGATAAGAAATACACATGCAAAAATAAAAAAAGGTAAAATGAGGAAGAATTTCACCACTCCATCCCACGAATTCCACATTTTACGAGTGTTATCAGATGCGCCTCCGCCTGTTTTCTAAACCAGCCAAAGCAGCTCCCAGTCTTTCACCTCGGCGTTTGGCTGCAGGACTCGCACTCCAGCCAGAATGGAGGCATCATTTATAAACCGGCTCTCTGTATGGGAGAAGTCGCCGAGTATGAAATTCTTTCCCTTGCCTTCCTCCTACGCTCAGTTTTACACTTCTGAGGGCTGCGGGTCTTGAGGAGTGTTTTGCTTTTCATTCCTCTCTGAGGCCGTTTACAACCATAACATTTGCGGTCATAAATTTTGCCGCGGTCCACACTGACAGGTGCAATTGTTATGCACGGCGCAGACTGCACCTCCTCAAACCACCAACATACAGTAGTATAGTGGCACAGGGCCCTTTGATATTTCAGTTTCGGCGTAGTTTAAAATGCTGACATGCTTTCTCATGCTCTGTTCCTGAAACAAATGTAGCTGCTAGAAAAAAATATATCTTTTAATATTTGGCTTTTTTTTCTCCATTGAATCTGAATCACTGAATTAAAGGTGAGTTTTGAATGAATGGGACAGAGGAGGGAAATTGAGCAACAAGCCAAAATATATGGGTTGAGGCTAATGAAATATATTTACCTCCCACCCCCAACCCACCCACCCAATCTCTCTCTCTCTCCTCCTCCTTCACACACACACACACACACACCACACACACACACTCCACACACACACACACACACACACACACACACACACACACACACACACACACACACTCACACAGCTATCACCTACATTCCTGATGCTAACATTAATAACAAACAGTGGAGGGCTTCAGTATTTAGCTTCTTGGATGTGTAATCATGTGATCCAACTGCGTGTGCGCGCGGCCTTGGTGGGCTATATATTACTGCTACAGGGAACAATGCATGACGGGCTTTGTCAGACCTTGTGATTAGTGAAAAGGGTATTGTGTGTATGTGTGTGTGTGTGTGTGTGTGTGTGTGTGTATGTGTGTGTGTGTGTGTGTGTGTGTGTGAAACGCTGATTCAGCTTATTTCTGAGGGACTCCTAAAGCCTCCCAGAGGGTCACTTTTTAGCACAAGTTAAACTTTAACTTGTTTTGTGCCAGAAATGAGTCAGATGGACGGCTCGGATCTGGGCCTGCGTGGGTGATGCATCACTGTTATAGACAGTGTGGAGACAGTTGGTGATTCCTAGTTTAATGGCTACTGTAGTCTGTAGCAGCCAGAGTCTGTGAGCTGGTTTATTCAAACCTCAGATATCAAACAGTGATTGGAGTAATAGAAGGGTGGGGGTGGGGGTGGGGTGGGGGGTGCATGTGTAATGAGTGAAGACCTTGTTCATGAGTGTCCAGATGAGTCTGATGTATTTTGTCTTTATAGGTCACAGACTGGAGCGACGGTGGGAAACATCAATCACGTGAATAAACAACACCCATGCCATTGGATAGAGCTGCTCTGGCTTATTGGCTTTGAATCCACAAAATGCAGAAAGCAACATACTACGACAACTCCGGACTTTTTGGAAGCTACAGCTACCCCAAACCAGACTCTTACAACTACGGCCCCGCACATCAGTCCTACCCCACTCCCACCATTGAGAATGACTACCAGGGCTCAGTGTGTCCCATCCAGACCTCTGCTGTCCGGCCACCGACTCTCAAAGACAGTGACCTGAACGGAGACTGCATGCGGCAAAGTGGCAGTCAGAGCAACGGCAGCAGCCAAGCCACGAGCATTGGGGAGCAGCAGGCACCTCCACTGTCCGCATCCCCCCCAAGCTCCAACAACACCCCTGCATCCCAGAAGAAGAAGTCCCCGTCCAGCAGCGCCTCCGGCACCGCCACGCCAGCCCTCACCAAGCAGATCTTCCCCTGGATGAAGGAGACCCGGCAGAACGCCAAGCAGAAGGGCAACAACTGCACCACTGCAGGTAGAGACCATGATGGAGATGTGTGTGCGTGTGTGTGCGCGCGCGCGCGTGTGTTTGTGTATGGGGGAGGGGGTGACCTAGTGACCTGGCCTTGTTATGCTTACAGTTTATGACCTGCTGTTATTATTATTATTATTATTATTATTATTATTATTATTATTATTATTATTATTATTATTATTATGGCTGAAAAGACGCTAAGATGCACATGTGCTGATTTCCAGGTGGGGAGGTGAGTGATGAGAAGAGCCCACCGGGACCAGCCTCCAAACGGGTCAGAACTGCTTACACCAGCGCACAACTTGTGGAGCTGGAGAAGGAGTTTCACTTTAACCGCTATCTCTGTCGCCCCCGGAGAGTGGAGATGGCGAATCTGTTGAATCTCACCGAGCGCCAAATAAAGATCTGGTTTCAAAACAGGAGGATGAAATACAAAAAGGACCAGAAGTCTAAAGGGCTCGCGCACTCTCCCCTGGGACACTCCCCGGATAGAAGCCCGCCGCTGAGTGGCCCAAATCACATTGGATACTCTGGCCAGCTCCAAAACGTGAACAGCCTCAGCTATGATGCGCCCTCGCCCCCATCCTTCGCCAAACCCCAGCAAAACATGTACGGTTTGGCCGCGTACACGGCACCCTTGGGTGGCTGCATCCCGCAACAGAAGAGGTACCCGGGCTCCGAGTACGAACACCACAGCATGCAGAGCAACGGCAGCTTTGCCAACGCCAATTTGCAAGGCAGCCCCGTTTATGTGGGTGGGAATTTTGTTGATTCCATGCCAGCCTCGGGCCCAATGTTCAACCTCGGCCATCTTCCCCACCCCTCATCCACCAGTGTGGACTACAGCTGTGCCGCTCAGATCCCAGGAAACCACCATCATGGACCCTGTGATCCCCATCCCACATACACAGACCTCACCTCTCACCAAGCGTCTCAGGGAAGGATTCAGGAAGCGCCTAAACTCACGCATTTGTAATATGTGGTTTCTTTGTGTGTGTGTGTGTGTGTGTGTGTGTGTGTGTGTGTGTGTGTGTGTGTGTGTGTGAGAGAGAGAGAGAGAGAGAGTGTGTGTGTGTGCGTGCGTGCGTAGGTTATGTATGTGTGTGTGTGTGTGTGTGTGAGAGAGAGAGTGTGTGTGTGTGTGCCAAAATTACGTTGCGCTCTTTTTATTACCTCACTAGTCTAATAACTACACTCCAAGCGAGTCGTGTGTATTATTACAGTATTATTGATATTACTATTAACGCTATTGTGTAATTATTTTCTAAATAATACAGCTTTGTCCATTTCTCTTGAATGTTTGGGGATGCGCAGAGGCAGACTAGCCTGGTGGTCAGTTGTTCCTTTTTCCTTTTTTGATTTTCTCAAGTGCAATGCGCAATGTTTTGATTGAATATTTCATGCCGTTACTTGAAGGTAAGTCTTGTAGATCACGAAAAGTAGAAGCTCATCTTTAGAGAGAAAGACTTTTTAGGGAAATTTTCGTCTGTTTGTCAGGATCTCATTTTCCTCACGGGCATCCTATTTATTTATTTTTTTTATTATTATTATTATGCTGCATAATCTTTCGTACTAGCATATAGCCTATTTATTATTTAATTACTTTTGTATTGCACATTATTTATCGTTTATATGCGAGTATTTATAAGTGTGGGAATTTTTTTGTAAGATTGGACAGATCAGTGCACTTGGAAGTGTTGGTAAAACAGGGTTTGGAAAATGCTATGACTCGCAGTGTATTGTTGAAAAAGAGCATTTCTAATTGTAAATCTGGGATAAATGGGGCATTTTATAGTGTATAAACACCACTATATGTCCATGGTTAATCTTGTGTCAAACCTTAAGCAAAACGTAGACTATCGACGTATCAAATATTATACACACCAGCATGTCATTTTGTGTAGTCCATTGCTATTTTTTATTTGTCTTCCATTGTTATTCCATTCAGTTGGATATCCATAAATTTATGAAACCCTAATGATATTGAAATGTTATATTTTATTGTGTTTAACATTTTGTAAATAAAGTGCTCAAACTTGTCTTTTTTTCATTGCGTTTTGTTGATTTGTGTAAAAAGCCCTGCAGCAGGAACACATGACCATCCACTGCCTCTGATCACTTTAATTCCTCATTCAGTGAAACTGTCAGGTAACAGTATAGCGAGGAGACTTATTGACTCACAGCTCTACTGTACAGTCCAAACAGGGAGAGGCAATCGATAATTAGACACCATGATATCTAAAACTCATCAGACGGCTCTATGCTTCCAATGCAAAGTGCATTTCAGCGGAATAAAAGGCTCTGGAGATTATTGATGTTTTATTGGTATGAGGGAAGTGAGTCTATGGTCTTATTGCATCTTCCACATGTCACATCATTTTCTTTTTCTTTTTTTTATTTTTCTTTCTTTTTTTATTTTTTTAGACTTGGCCACATGATTACCTTCCTATCTGCCGGGACAAGAGAATAAGCTTCATTTTCCTGTAGACCGAAGCCTAATCACTGGCTGCTCTAATTGATTGGTCCACACTGAGACGGATTTTCAAAATAAATTACATACATTGGCAGAGTGGAAGTATAAAGATATGCCCATTCGTTGATGGGTAAGGCAGGGCATATTAGTGACAATAAAAACCAGAAGAAGAAAAAAAAAACATGGTGCTTCTTTGACATTGGAAATGATACAACGATGGATGCCTGTGCGTATATATGTGTGTGTGTGTGTGTGTGTGTGTGAGAGAGAGAGAGACAGAGAGACAGAGAGAGAGAGAGAGAGAGAGAGAGAGAGAGAGAGAGAGAAAGAGAGAGGCAGAGCAGTTCATCCTTTATTGCTCCTGGAGAGCCATTTCAAAGCTCATTAATCAAAAACTCGTCGCTTTCAGACTCCTCGCTGATCCCTCCTCCTCGTGAACAAAGCATTTGCATTCCAGATCCAAGTAACACATTTCAAACCGAGCAGCCCAATCTGTAATGGTGGGGGAGAGTTAGAAAAAAGAACCCTACTGCTTTCACATTTCCTGAGATGATATATCCTCGGATTTAAGAGCGCATCAAGGCAAATGAAACTCTTGTCACAGAAATCATCAGTGGCTTTAAATCCGCACAGGTCCCACAGTCACAGTGCCCCACCCCCACCCCCCCACCCCCAACCCCAAAAAAAGTTGCAGCTAGGGAAGTGAATGTGACTCAGCATGCAGGTATTATCCTAAATCCTGTAATGACAGCTTTTAACTTTATTTCATCTCATTTTATCATCAAATCCATCCTGGGCTTTTGCTACGAGCTACTACAATAGGCTACAAATCATCTCAGTATTCAGAGGATGGCGGCCATTTTAACCCTGGGTGAGCTCTTTCTTTCATCTCCCCCACCGCCGCTGTCTGCGCTGCACAACTCATTTATTGAGCCCTAAAAATAGTTTTCTTAAAACATTTTTTTTTTAAATTGAATGAAACATAATTTTCCAGAAAACAAGCTGAAAGTTAATAAGATAATTTCTGCGATCTGAATTATTTTGCATAAGAAAATTTACTGTTTTAATGAAAATGCATGGGGAAGGATCAGAGGATCTAGTTTCAAATTTGAACAAATATCGATTTGGACCTTTTTAAAATCAATAATCATGTTTGAAATTTGATGATCAAATACCTCGGGCAAAAGCACCATCAATAGGGAATAATGGCAGTCTAAATCTCGCTCATGAAGCACTAAATGGAGCAAATGGAGTTTCAGATTTTATCCTTCTGACTCTGTATCCCCTGACTCTGTAATTGGACATGGGCGTAGCTGAGATCAAATTCAACAATCTGGCATGAAAAAAGCAGGTTTCACCTCAATTGGAAACTGCACCAGCATAGATCCCTTTGCTCTGCAAAAAAGAAATTCTACTTCACACAGACAAGTCTTGTTAAGAAACTAGATGAATAGATGTTACTTTACAGACTTGTGTTTTTTGAGTTTTAATTTCTGCATGAAACAAAAGCACGTGTTTCAGACTATAGCTGCTCACTAATCAAATAAATGGTTTGGATTATGGGAGTTTTTAGATTAGGATCCATGAAGGAAGTGTGAAATAACTTGTACAGGCTTTGTTGGAGCAGGCAGTGCAGCTGAGAGCTCATTTTGTGTCCCTGATTGGATAAAAGCAGAGCAGACCACGCCTGCTCAGTGGAGGGTAATGTTTACATATGGGAAAGTGTAGTCCTACAGTAGGCGAACTATTAATGAGAGCAAGTCCAGAACTATCTCTACTCAGGACATCCGACCTGGGGACAGCCGGTATTTGAATTTAAAGATTTTTGGTGGGTTTTATTTTGTAAATCCACGTTGATGTCTGAGGTGATGGACAGAGAGCTTGGAGCAGTGGGGATCTGTGTGTTGTGGCCGCCACCGGGAGAGAGCCAGCCTTTCATTCAAAGAGTTTCTTCAGTAGATTAAAAGAGGTACAGTCACAGCTGCTCCTTCTTCTTCTTCTTCTTCTTCTTTAGAGGGCACTAGGAGAATTGTCCGTTCCCACGGCACCAACGTGTTGCAGCGTTTTAATCAGCCCTTAGGAAGAAAGTTGGTATGCACGTCGGTCACTGACAGAACATATCGCGATGATTCAAGTGTGGCAGTGAGCAGCGTTCATCCCCATCCCAGGAGTTTTTTTTTTTTTTTTTTTAACACGCGCTTGCTCGAGAGACAAGAGGGAGCAGCAGTTGTGTAAACGTTGCAGAAGAAATTAAGATCAGTAAATATAAATAGCTATATTTAGTTCTTTTCTTTTTCTGTTAAAAAAAAACAAAAAACAAAAAAACTGCTTTGATTTGAATGACCGCGTCCTATCCTGCTTTATTATCACCGAACAAAGTTATTGTGGATTATCGCCGGGATTTCAGGACAAAGCGGTTGACGGAGGGGAACAGAGAGAGGATTTTCATCTCATCACAACCTGACAAAAAAAAACTACGAGGACTGGCCCGTACAGGTGAAACTGCTTTCAGAGCTGAGGAGTGGCGTGCAGCGGAGGACTAGACAGAAAAAGGGGCCTGGAGGTCTGCTTTGGCTTTATCACAGCATCCCTCAGCTTATTTATTTTCTGCAGTGGAGAAATAATTTGTATTTTGTCACTGACTTTTTCTGTTATCTCTCAAACATGATGAAAATCTCTGAGAAACCTACAGTAAAGTGCAGGATTCATTATTGTTGTTGATTTGTGACCTGTGATGTTTGCAGGAATTCAATCCAATCAAACATAAAAAAAAATCTTCATTTTTATTTATTGTAGAATTTTTACTGCTACGAACAATTTACTTTGAAATATTGTTATGACTGGGATGTCCTTTGAATAAAGGGGAAGTTATAACCTGATACTTCTGTGTGTAAGTTTATTAATGAATTCATATACCTGCCTTTATGTCTGTGCATGGACAACAAAACTATTTAAATGTGAACTCACTCACCAGTTGCGTTTTTTATTTATTTTTTATTTAAACATGCTTCTAAGGCTAGCATGATGCTATTATGGATAAACCTGCTGTTATTATATGTGATGTAAAAGTTGATCAATTAAATTGCCACTAAGCTCATTTGATATTTTACTGATAAAAGAGAATGTATTGATATCTGAAACTAACTGATTAACTTAATTAGCTTTTTTTATTTATTTGATGCTCATTTACTCATTCTTTTTCTTATCTAAACTACTCAAAATACATGAGGTCAACAACCCTTTTTGTTTTAATTTGTAAAGAAGGTACCATTTTTCCCCCCTCACAATAGTCCAAACTTCCACACCGAGCACATTCTATATAAAGGGTTTATATGAATGATTTTATATCCCAAACTTGTGTTTCAGTCCATTAAACTGACAGTCAGGATTTCATTTCTTTCCCTGCGCAGCGCTCGATTTATGATGATGTTCAGTAATTCTTTGGTATCAGACAAGAGGAGGAAGGAAGAAGTGATCTGCATCGCACACCCTGACCATCTGTA